AGCGGGGTTGGATCAAGGGTTGGACTTGATGATCTCGGAGGTCCCTTCCAACCCAGCTGATTCTGTGATTTCGGGGTGTAGCCACTGCAGAAAGGGAAGGGAAAGGCCCAGAGTCCCTTCCTGATGGATATAAGGAATAGTGGGAGGCTGGGTGGGCTCGGAGCATCCCTTTGGTGACGTGTCCCTCCCATCCCTGCCCTCCTCACACAGGAGGAGGGTGTCCAGCGTGCGCGGGAGGAGGAGGAGAAGAGGAAGGAGGTGACATCCCACTTCCAGGTGACGCTGAACGACATCCAGCTCCAGATGGAGCAGCACAACGAGAGGAATTCCAAGCTGCGCCAGGAGAACATGGAGCTGGCAGAGAGGCTCAAGAAGCTCATCGAGCAGTACGAGCTGCGGGAGGAGGTGGGTCAGGACAGGGGTATCCCCCTGCCCAGGGAAGGGGGTTCCTGCTTCCAGAGGGGAAATAAACCCAGCAGATTCTCCCATCATCACATTCCTGGTAACCACAGCCCAGTAATATGCTCTCATCAAGCCAGTTTTTTTTTTACTGCCACAGAACATCAAGGCCATGTTTTGCAGAGTGGAAGGGAAGGAAAACACAGGTTTTCAAAAGCAACACTCAAATGATAAAGATTCAGCAGGGAGGGGGAAGTGCACCACACACTCACTGCTTTAGCAGAGGAAAATATCCAGTATATCCAAAATATCCAATATATCTAAATGTATCTATATCCAGTGTATCTAAATACACATACAAACACCCAGCTATGTGCATTTTATACCAGTAAAAGTTACATGATATTTTTTTAGGTTGTTTATTTATGCTGTTGAGAGTTCCCTCAATTCATTTAATGCAGACTAGACAATTTTTACTTTGTGTAGAACGTTGAGGTTCATTCATGCCCTTAACGTACATTAATTAGACGCTGCTTACAAATAACCTGCAGTAAGAATATCTGTTTGTCTGGGGTCTTCTGAGCCTGTGGTGTTCCCTTGGCAGCACATTGACAAGGTGTTCAAGCACAAGGAGCTGCAGCAGCAGCTGGTGGATGCCAAACTCCAGCAGGCCCAGGAAATGCTGAAGGAGGCAGAGGAGAGGCACCAGCGGGAGAAGGACTTTGTAAGTCATGGAGCAGTTCTGGGGTGGTTGTGACCCTTGTTACTGCTGGATCCCTGAGTGCAGAGCCCAGAGCAGGTTATCCCACATCTTGCCTTGCTTCCTGAGCAGCTTCAGGAGCCAGGCTGGAGCCCTGCTCTGCTCCCTGTGCTCCTCCCAGCCCGCTCCCATCTCCAGGCCCAGCACCAGCCGTGCAGGGATGTGCTCAGAGCATTCCCAGGTAACTGCTTTTGCTCTTCCCCAGCTGCTGAAGGAAGCTGTGGAATCACAGAGGATGTGTGAGCTGATGAAGCAGCAGGAGACCCACCTCAAGCAGCAGGTGAGTCACCTGCTCTGTGTGCTAAGCCTGTTTTGTTTGGCTTTCTTTTCTTCCTTCCTAAGCAAGGAACAACCCAAAGTTCCTTAATCTGGAAAACACAGGGGGAGGATCTCTCCTGGGCTTTGGTATTGGTGAGCTGAGACTTCCTTCAGCAGTTCTGCCTTCTGGGAGAAAGGTGCCTTGTTTTTTTCCAGTGCTGGGAGCAGTCATGGGATCACCCCTCACTGAATCAGCCCCAGCAAGTGCCTCCTGCCCTGACCAG